TTAACTAAAGGTAGCAACAAGGTTAGGATAAATAGGAGCATAGAGAGGATAACTAAAGTTCTCTAGTTCTGACTTGGGTAAGCTTATGTCTTTTACTATTTAACTGAGGGACATTACTAGGGAAAGACACCAACAGAGGATGCTTTCCTTCGCAACCGCGTCCTACGTGCGCCTATAGACGGAAGGTGGAGGAAGCTATATAGTATAGGCTATATAAAACTTATGTCACTCACGCGATCTACCACCTTCTAGAATGCAGGGTGCATCTATGATTGACCTAAGTCTAAGCACCATGCTTACACTTACAATTAATATTAGACTCCCCCTAGAAAGAGAATAAAACACTCAAAAGAAAGTTGTGAACCTGAAGAACAATTGTTTACACCAAAATTTGGAGGAAGAGTCGCAGGGACTCAAAACCTCCCAAGATCGTGTCATCAAAGAATCAATTGCGTGCAGATCAGAACTAGCTGATTCGGATGCCAAAAACTAAAATCGGCTTTCTTCAGATAGCGCCAGCGGATAACGACAAAGGCTACGTTCGACGCCAAGACGAAACATGTTGGACTCTACAAAAAAGGGAAAGATTAGAGTCCAAGTTATTTTAAATTAGGAATGTTTTCTTTAGGGTCAAAATTTATGATGAGTCGTGCTTAGACAGGAGTCATGTGCAGGTCCCGGGTATAAATATCAAGCCCCGGCTATTGTAAGAAGGACAACAATCAATCTAATATACAAGTTATTTACTTTTTTGGCTCCGGCCACCCCTTAGGAGTAGGAGTAGAGTAGATCTCGGCGAGTTCTTTAGCAAGTATGGCTGCATCGATCCGGTCGACCTCCACTGCTTGTTGTAGTATGTCATGGCTTAGACCTCTGTTCGTACGACTGCATCGACTCTGGTATAAGTTAGTTATCGATTCTTGCCTAGTTCAAGTATGGCTGCATCGATCCGATCGACCCCCACTGCATGAACTAGATCAAGGTCAAGTTATCGACTCTACCTTAGGATGACAGTCTTTGGTAGATTCATTAAGTTACCGATATTGCTTATTGCTTTCATTATTTATCTAATTACAACAATATCACTCTGCCCGATTGGGATTGGTCTAGATCGGCCTTATATCTTGTTTAGCTCATCGTTTGCTAATCTAAATTGATCTAATCTACACATTAAACGATGATATTTTATCGGCTGTTTTATGTCAATCCTGATCGTGCATAGCGTGTGGTTAAGGCGTGTTACATCTTGAGTAGATTTATTGGCTAGCAAGAACCGTTCCATGGCCCGTTATCACGGCCTGTGTGATTCTGCCTCACACCCCACTGTTAGCACCATGGAGTGGGGATCGTTATTTAATAGATCTATTCCTGATAATGCATGACTTTAGCTATGCGCTATGCCTGAATCAGATGTTTTAGCCGATATCGAGTGCTTTCACGAACAGCTCGCATCACGAGACCGTTGAAGTAAAGATAGGTTGAAAGACATGTTAGCCCCATGATCTTATTATTGTATTATGGCCTGTATGATTCTGCCTCATGCCCAACTGATATTAGTAATGAGTTAGGGTCGTTGAGTCTATTGTTATTTCTATGGCCTGCATGATTCTACCTCATGCCCCACTGGTCATAGCGATAGATGAGATCTAACATGTTCATTAGATTTATCTTTATCAAATGGTTAAATGGTGTTGAATTGTTTCTTTATATAAAAATGGGTTCGGTTACTTGTAATCATTGGCTCAGCACAGATCGATCATTGTTAACATCTTATTGCCATTGATTAATATCTGTTCGAATAATGACATTTACCCTGAATGATAACCGATTCTTCTTACACAACCCAATAAGCTTTAATCGATTTATTCTCATGAATATGCTAGAATCGACTATTTAGTCGATCTCCTTTCATATCGGCTCTTATAGCCGCACATTCGGGACTGTCTGGCAACACTGACAAGTTCTGCCCTTAATTATTGATGAACTTTCTCTCCTTGTCAATTATAGGGTCAAATTGACTGGCATGTCTCAGGAGGAGTGCGCGGGATCAACCACCCCTGCGCTAAAGCTAGGCGGATCTACAACTCCATCGAGCAGACCCTTCCGGCTTGCTGCGTGTGTCCTCAGCACGGGACAAAAATTCTATGTCGACAACAATATAAACAAGATGCTTACTTAAATCAGAAGTTGATTATCAGAGAAATCTCAGATGCAAGCTCATATAGAACTTGAATCCGTCAAGGTACAAGCCGTAGAGAGAGCACCGATAGGCTGGCACCTCCTTTAAACTCTTCCCTCACTCTCTATCTCACTATTTCTATTTATAAGACTAGATCCTATAGAGAACCAATCTTCTCTCGATAGATGGCTCTGATCCTCATGATATGAATTAGAGTTTTAGGATGACTCCAGGAAGGGTGGCAAGGGCTGATATATATAGGCCGGAGCGTCCAATGTGAGCTCTTGGATCAAACCGACTTAAAGGACGGCGTAGATGCAACTTAGGTGGCGGTGGTGAATCGACATTATGACGCGGAGGCTGACAGGTGGGCCCACGGGCGGCTTGCAGGTGGGGTTGGTTGGCCCCACATGGCAGCCCCTCGAGGTCTGCTTCAGTGAAGAGCCTCCTAGAGTCTTCTAGAATCTTTCCACGCTGTTTACGCGGCGGAATTCTGTAATTTCATTTGACGAATTGGTCCCCCCTGACGGTTTACTAGATAAACCTTGCTGAAAACACAGATTCACTAAAACTCATAGAATTTATTAGTTTAAACCCCTATACCTATGTTTGGTGATGAAATTAAGTATAAATACAGGTTATGTTGACGGTTTATAATTGATGTTAGTTACCGTCAGCAACCACATACTCCGGTAAGCCTAACATCTTGGCTATTCCAATACGAGAAAGGATAACCGTGCACTAGAAGTGGAGAGATGGCGAGAGTAGCGTGTACCCACCGTACGGAAACATCTGGGATGACGTACGATAGTGGAGTACTGTATTCTCGGGTGGCGCGAACCCGTTCTCGTTTTGGAGGATTCGAGTGAAGGTTGATATATGTAGGTCTAGGACCTACATATGTCGTGTGGTAAGGAAACCCTCGCTAGGCCAAATCAATTCGAATCGCCACTGCTTCTCGAGAAGAAGACTCGATTCTCTGCTCTACATCGTAGTTAATCAATGAAACATGGTTATTTATGGATATGAGATGAGATGATTAAAGAAGTGGTTGATTTAGATCAGGTGCAAATTGGATACTGAAAATGACTTAATACACAACTAAACCAGTGAAAGTAAGGATCCACTTATAGTAAGCTTTTCTACAAAAAGTAGTTCTTGCTTTAAACTTTCCTTTGATACCAGCATGCCCTTAGAGTCTTTTCTTTTAGTCGGGTAAGACTTGTTAAGTATCCTCAAGTACTCAGGGTTTGTTAACCCCTGTTGCAGGATCTGACTTATGCTGTTAATCGAGGTCATGTCGGTGGGCTCGACATGTATTGGGCGTCTCTTCCACCTTAGATGCTTCATCTAAGTTGCTTCTATAGTCCTACTCATCTTTTAGAATTTAAGTTAAGTTGTTACTTGAACATGTTTTGTAAACTCATGTTATACGTCTTCCGCACTCGAATGTAAATTATTTTTGTACCAATCATTGTAATGTTGTGGTAAATCCATGTTGATCCTGTATGAGTTGTAAACTGAGGATGATTCCGGGTTCTTCAAGGACATCCAATAGACTATCTGAGTTATCTGGCTCTCATGTGCAGCAGTGAGAAGTCTTAAGGATAATGACAGATGCATGTGGGCCATATAATTTAGGTAGTTCTGCCACACAAACCAAGAAGCCAAAAATTTAGCTCGTTGAAGCTTTAACCACCCAAATTTAGCTACAAGCAATCAGGCTCCTAGCTCTCTCCCTTTTTTTCTCCACAGCATTGTGCCTGATTTGTAGTTTTTTTTCTTTTTTCATATTAACCTATTGACTAAGCATTTTTAAAATTTAGAAGTTTGTCTGAAACAAGTTCTGTAAAAGAGATTGTTAGACGACAAAACTTACGTAGGTTATGTTATTGGTAGAATTTAGTAGACAAAAATTTTACTTCAAATTTTATAGAGACAAAATTGTTATGATGAGTTGGTTTACAAATGTCTACTAGGTTATGTTATTCGCAAAATTTAGACTACAAATTTTATATATAGACAAAATTGTTATGATAAGTTGGGTTATAAATGTCCTGTAGAGAAGTTGTCATGGTAGATTATATATAAAACTATGTAAAAAATAACTAGGAAATTATGATGCTAAATTTTGTTCCGCAAAATTTTATACATATAAATTGTGATAGTTTTGTTCCGCAAAATTTTATTAGTTGTGAGTATAACTTTACATTCTAAAAATTGTTTCAGCAAAAAAATATACAAATAAATTGTTGAGTATAGGTTTACAGTTTTCTCAAAAATATGGTGTGATAGTTTTGTTTCGCAAAATATTATACACAAAAATTGCGTACATAATTTGTAAGTTCTCGAAAATAGGAAGATGCGGAAACAACTATTTTTCGCTCATTAGTAGAGTCGCAAGATGGTTGTGCATGAAAACAAGTGGTAGCCGACAATGAGCACAAGTGGTAGCCGACAACGAGCTACCGATTTATGAAGAATTTAGACGGCAGATTTCGAATGCGATGCAAATTCGTCAGTCATTCAAACAGTACAATTGAATTTTCGGATGCGATGCAAATTCATTTCAGACACCTGCATCATGCGTCGATCGTCCAAATAAAGAAAGAACCGTAGGACAATGCATGTACAGCGCAGGTACACACATTACATACAGATACAGAAGTAATTAAGCAAGCTGATGATGGAGCATACATAATATAGTACCATACGTAGTGAAGAGAGCACACGTGTATACGGTATACATACGAGACGACGACAGAATTAAGATACATTCCTGCTCATATGCATGAGCTGGACAAGGAGTGGTTTTATTAGTTTAATTAGACCCTGGCCATGGGCTTGTCGACGCCGCCTGCACCTGCGCCAGCATAGTGATCCGCCGCCGCGGGGTATCCGCCGTGGGCGTGTGACTGGTTGCCGCCAAAGAGGCCGGTGTGGAGCATGAGCACGTAGAGCAGCTGCGTGAATGCGAGGATGATGACGAAGGCCTCCAGCACCCTGAGGCGCCATCTGCATTGCCGCCGACGTGGATCTCCTTGCAGGCGAGGCCGAAGGCGAGCACCGTGATAGCCCAGGCGATGAGGGAGGAGGCCGCGCTGGCGGTGAGGCTGTCCCCGCGCCCTGCGGAGCGCACGTGGTGGATCCCGGCCAGCTTGGAGGCGGCGCCCACCACCCCAGCCAGGATGGCGAACACAAGGAAGTAGAAGGTGGCGCAGTTGCCGGCGACGCCCAGGTAGTTGGTCTGCCCGTTGATGAAGTGGTTCAGGTTCCAGCTGGCGAAACCGATGACCACGATGTACATGATGAGGTTCAGCACCAGAAGGGGTGCCAGCATCGTGCGACCCACCATCATGCCACCCGCCATTATTATTCTACTAGTATTGTTGAGCTTAGCTTAGCTTCACGCCTTCACTTAGGTGGCTGGTGGCAAAGCTAAGGAAGAAGAAGAGAAGCAAGGAATTAACCGGGGGATCGATCGAACTGGGAAATTTGGGATGCTGGTCGGTGACTGTGAGGATCGGAATTGACGGGAGTGAGTGTATGCTCTGCCTCTGCTGCTGGCGGCTCCTTCCGAGTACACATAAATAACGAGAGGGAGCTGCTACCGACACCCGCCACGTGTTCTGCGAGATGTACAGGTGGTGGGACATGTGCCGCTCCGCCCTCCCACCTAGCCTCTTCTGGGGCTTTCTTTCTTCCTCTCATGTACTAGCACCAGTACCTCTACCTGCCGCCGCCGGAGGAGGAAGACTGGACATGGATAGTGCAACGACCACCCAACCATCAGGCAACGGCTACTTCTCTACCTGGCGCCAAAAAATAAAAAGGAAAAGTAAAGCGTAAAGGTAGCCAAGCTAGCCAGCCAGCCAGCTAAAGCCGCACACTGAACTGACTCACCAGTGGGCAGTGGCAGTCACCAAGGCTCTCTTCGCTTGTGCTATTCAGTCGGTTTTAGTCCGTACAAATTAGTCATGAAATAGTATTTTTCTCTCACAATAAATCAGCCATACAAATCAGCAGAAGCCGATTTAATACCAGCCGACCAGGACCCAAGCTAGCAGCAGTAGCTCTTCTACGTATACATTTCCCCACTTTCATCGTCCAAGCCCACCACGCCACTCACCTCACCTCAGCTTGCCACGAATGGATAGATGGATCCAGTCGCTTCGCTTCTCTCTTGTCTTGCGTGGCACAATTTACCGCACCCTCCTCCTACCCACGGAAAAAGAAAAAAAAAGGTTTGACACAATATATAACTTATAAAGCCCTGTTTGGCTCACAATAAACGATTACTCTGTGAGATAAAAAGAGATAAGAATAAGTGGTGGCAGCAGTAGCAACCACTTATTCTTGCAACCAAACAGGGCCAAACAACCTATGGTCAAAATAGACTAACCTAGAAACCACTGCAAAATGGCAATGTTTTAATCCTTTTCGTAGCCATACATGCATCTCTTCGGTCTCCACGGCTTTTCATTTATACTAAAACACAGAAGTTTGGTCAGGTTTGTTTAATTTGGTAGTAGTTTTTCTATATTTGTACAGCTTATTAAAAAATGTTTCTCTCCACGACCGTACCAAACATGACATATGGATGCAGCGAAAAACATCGTCCTTTAAGTACACAACCGAAATTCTTATAAGCGCAACTTATGGTCAAAATAAGCTAAACCAAGAAATCAATACAAAGGACGTTTCTTTCCATGGCTTTTATTTATGGGGAAATTGTGTTCTTACCCTTGTTTAGGAGTCTAATTGTAATTGTACCCCTGTTTTTTAACTTTGTGATTTTGCCCTCACTTTTATGAAATGAAAGCTCCGTTTGCCCCTGTTTTGGATGACCGTTAAATGCACTTGGAAAAAAATAAATTAAAAAAATCAAAATATCTAAACACAAAGGAAAAACACAAAATTGCCCCTTATCTCTTCATTCTCTTCGTCATCTGTTCAGAAGAAAACAGAGGCACGGGTCGCTCGCTCTCTCTCGCGCGTCGGGGCGAAGAATCGGGCCTGGCAGCGGCGCGCGGCGCTCGGGGCAGCGTGCGGAACCTGTGGTGTGGCGGCGCAGCGCGGGGCGCGCCAGCCTATGGTGAGCGGCGGCTAGGGGCGGGCCAGGCCCAGGTCAGTCGCCAACTCGCCATGTGAGTGATCCTTCCTCCCGTGACCTCCTAATTCTCCTCGGTCTACTCTTCATTAGCTTCGGAATCCCGGTCCCCTATGCCTAGCGCGCGCGTCTGGTGTATGAGTAGCTGTTACTTTTGATTGGAATTGGGTTGACCTAGCTAGGGATGTAGGCCCGCGCCTCGCGCCTAAAGATTCCGTGAGTGGGCTGGTCTTGTGCTGGTGATTGGTGGCGGCTTCACCACGAGAGGGCAACAACACCCTTTGTTGTCTATGGATTATCGTAGCTTACTTGCTAGATTTTGGTTTTGTGCTTATCTGTGGGCTGTGTCGACTTGATTACAGCTTTTGGCTCGATGAGCTGGGGTTGTGCTCGTGGGAAGTTGTTTATCCGGCCATTGTAGGTCACCGACTCATTGCTTATGCTATCTCGTTTTACAAGCAGGCTCAACAGTATTCGTATGTTCATGAAGTTCCTCCTAATATGCCATGTTCGGAAATGACTCTGTATTCGTGCAGCAGCTCTGTGCGGCGCGGGCGGCTAGGTGGTGTGGGAGCGGACAGGGCCCAGCGTGGTCGGGCGGCAGGCGCTCCGAGCGGGTAGGCCTCCAGGCGCTACGCCACGCGAGGACAGGAGTAGCGAGCCTGGCGAGATGGATTTATGCGACGTTGGTTAAGAGACTAGGTAAGATTTGGAGCTCATATGATTTGGTTTGTAGGAAAATTAGTATCAATCTATAGAAAGAATGAGTTTATGTCTGTAGAGCGATTTAGCTAACTATGTATTCGGTGATATGATTTGTAGGCCAAATCACATGGATATGAGCCTTGTTGTTAGAGTTCTGTCATTTTTCAGTTTGCCTGATGGGGGACCAAAATCATGGCAACAGGGTAGAACCTTGCCTACTCAAGTTATTGACATGCATAGCTTTGACCTACTGCAGCTAGTTAATTTCATAGCTGAGCACTATATGTGGGGTTCAAAACTGTACATAAGTTTGTGGCGTGCATTGGATGAAATTTCTAGAGGACCTTCTATTGACATTAAAACTGATGAGCAGTTGCTTGAGTGGTTTGAACTCAATAAAGAGAAGGGAAAGGTGTATATTAATGCCCAAATTAATGATTTTGAGGTCCATTGCAATTTTCACCAACAAAAAGTAGGTGCCACCCTTCTATAAGGAATAGAGTGCCCACTAATGAAACAAACACTGCTGAGAGAGCCACATCCAGAAACAAAAAAGAGAGAGCCACCAGAAAAGAGAGAGCCACCAAATCCAAAGCAAAAGGCACACATCATGATGAGGGTGTAGGAGTTGATGAGGAGGGCATATATTCTGACACTAATTCACTTGTGGCAGCAAGTGATAGCAGCTATGATAGTGACTTGGCTGCATCCTCTGATTCTTGTGATGATTGCTCTGACCCTGAGTTTAATCCCGATGAACCAGTTGTTGTTGATGATGATGAATATGACCCTCCACCCTTCTCATATGATGTTGATAATCCATGTATTGATGTAAATGTGGTGTTTCCAGACGTGGATCAGTGCAAGTCTGCAGTTACACATCATGCCATCTTGAATGATCATGCTTTTGAGATTGTGAAAAAGGACAAGAGCAGATTTAGAGCCATATGCAAGAGAGCAAATCAGGGTTGCAAGTGGTAGTTTTTTGTATCTATAAGTAAAAAGTACATTGGCTGTAAGGTGATTTCAAATTTTTTGTAACATTCAGCATCAAGTAAGAAGTATTAGTGTGCAACAATTTACTAATAAAATGGTTCTTTTCTTGCTGTTTTTTTGCAGGTTAAGACTAGTGGTCCAAAGCATACTTGTGGTTCATTCAACAATTGTGGTGAAACAATGGCCTCCAATAAATGGGTAGCTGAAAGAGTTGTCGATTTACTGTGGGAAGACCCTGAAATGAGACCAAAGGAGTTGCAAGATAGGCTCAAGAAGAAGTACTCGATAGAAGTTCCATACGATAGAGTTTTCAGAGGCAAGCTAAGGGCAATGGACATCATATATGGGAAGTGAAATGATAGTTATAACTTGCTACCAACTTATCAAGCTGAGCTTCTAAAAGTAGTACCTAGCAGCATCATTGACATAGACACTGAAGAAGATGACAATGGTGATTTGTGTTTTAATAGGTTCTTTGTTGCTCTTAAACCATGCATTGATGGGTTCTTGCAAGGATGTAGGCCTTACATTGCCATGGATGCCACACACTTGACTGGAAGGGGAAGGGGTCAGTTAGCAGCAGCTGTTGTAGTGGATGGTCAAAACTGCTTATTTCCAGTGGATTATGGTGTGATTGAGACCGAGTCTAAAGGAAGTTGGACTTGGTTTGTGACAAACTTAAAGAAGGCTATTGGTACTCCTACGGGCTTGGTCATTAGTACAGATGCGGGCAAAGGACTTAAGGTGGCTGTACTTGATGTGTACCCAAGAGTGGAACATAGAGAATGCATGAGGCACTTGTGGAAGAACATGAAGAAGAATGGGTACAGTGGTGAGCTTTATGGTAAGAATATGTGGGTAGTTGCCAAGAGCTTCACAAATGACAAGTTCAAGTACTTCATGCGAAACATAGAGGAGAAGGATCCTAGTACACTATCCTGGTTGGATGACAACCATCCATTTGTGTGGAGTAGAAGCAAATTTGGGGAAGAATGCAAGGTAGATTACATCAACAACAACCTCTCTGAAAGCTTTAACAGTTGGGTGTCCAAAACCAAGGATTTTCAAATTGTAGATATGCATGACAAGATAAGACAAATGATCATTTAGAAATTTGTTTTGAGAGCCAAGCTTGCTAGTAAAATGTCAGGCATAATCATTCCAGCTGTGACCAATGCTCTAAATGCTAAAGCCAAGAGTATCAAGGACCATGAGGTATTGATATGTGGGGCTAGAATAGCTGAAGTAACTGTGAACAGATTTAGGTGCGCAATCAACTTAGGACAAAAATCATGTAGTTGTAGGTCTTGGCAAGTATCTGGACAGCCCTGCACCCATGCTTTAGCTTTCATTTCTAAGATTAGTAGAGAGGTACGAATGGATGACTTTATGCATGAATACTTCTTTGTTGATCGGTTAAAAAAGGCATATGCATATCCTTTCAATCCAATGACATCCAAGGATAATTGGCCACATGTTGATTTGGGCTATAAAATCAAGAAGCCTAAACTGAGAAGGAAACCAGGAAGACCCAGAAATTCTAGGATCAAGTCCTATGA